GATCGTTGTATCATCACTATAGCTCTTATGTGATGGTTGTCGGTTAGAGAAACTCCCACAAAAGTTATTGTATTTTTATATACATCAGTTTATTGTATTTTTACATACATTTCAAAGTTGTTGTATCCTTGTATATACACATAGTTGACATCATATTTTTAAACAGTTTTTCTTTATATTGCACTTGTTTTAAACTGCTTTATATTGAAATGAGTTCAGTAAGTATTCATGAGTTGAGAAGAGCCAATGTAAGTGTTTCTTTCAAATTCCCTTTCAAGCCTATGCTGTTTTAGCATTCCAACTCGCATACTCGTACATTCAATGTACTGATGCCAGTTGGTCTGCATCTTATTATGGTGCAGACATATGTAACTAGGATTGGCATTCCAGCGCACCGTTGATCCAGTGAGCAGTTCAGAGTCAGTCGGTGAGCCTTTTTGCATTCTAGATGACTCTTTTTTATTGCTTTCTAGTTAGTTCATTAAGATGTTGTAGGGGTTGTCCCAACATCCATCTCAGTTGTTTTAGAGGCTTCATAGATAGTCAGATGTTAGTCTTCTGAGTCTTTTCAATTTCATTTTTTATTGTTAAGACTTGGGTTGCCACTTTTGGCCAAGTTGAATGTTTAACCTTTAAACATTCCCAAATATTTTATTATTCAGTTCAGTTAAGTGTTATTGATCATTAGAAGTATGAATATTGTCTTCCGCTGAGTTAAGTAAGCCAGACCAAGGGTTTGCTTGGGGCCAGCAATGGTCTTCGAGTGTCAGTCCCGCCTAGGGTGTAGGCTCGGGGAGTGACAACTTCGACACATAGCCTAGCGTAGCGTCCTCTGGTTGTTGTACTTGTGCAAACATCAGTTTTGAGAAGTTTCCCTATGACATTGCCAATTTTCTTAAGTATAACTCCATCATAAAATTTGGTTGGGAGATGTGGGAGACGAATCCAGATAGCGGTATTTGTAATTGTTTCTTTGTTAGCTATGAAGTTTGGAATCCACTTTTGAACAGAGAGGAAATGACTATTGACGAACCAATGTCCTTTTTCCAGCACATGGTGTAGTTGGGAGTTTGGCAATATAGAAATCATAGCCTAAGTCAATTAGAAGGAAGTCTGATGTTGTTTTCCATAGTGATTTAAGTCTTGATTTTAGTAGATAATGCTGCATTTTCTTACCGATAAGTTTGATTATAATAGAGAATTGCCAGGAAGAGTACATCCGAATTTTGTCTTCCATAGTAAGATGGATTTGATCAAGTTGGTATGAGATTGGTAAGGTGTCAGTCTTTGATTCATATGATACCTCCTCTGAATTCATTTTGGAGTCCACCAGCTCATTGATAATGGTTTCATTTAACATTAGGGAGGCTTGTAAGTTACGGATGAGGTTAAAAGTTTGGTGGGGACTATATATGGAGGTTCGGGGGGATTTCATGCATTGGAGATGAGACTTGGATGTTGTTGCTCATAGTCACTAGAGAGAAAATTGATTAAGTATAATTATGTGTTTTGATTTATACCTTATTTTATTGCTCAAATTATTCTTTCTAAAAAATATTGGTCCGATCTTCACTTGCCTAGTTATAAGTTGCTCGAATTTCTTCTTAAACTAGAAAATTAGGTCACGTTTTGTGCCGTCGTAAAAAAATAAGTATTTTTTTATCCAAACCATTAATAAATTGATGATATAATACCATTTACTTAATTTTTTCTTATATTTTCAACTTATTAAATAGATCGGGTTTATAATGATGATTGAGTCATAGGTAATTTAAATATTGATTTAAATTTAAAAAGTATTTTTCAAAATATTTACAATTTGAACGCCATTAAATAGGTGTCAAATATTTTATATATATTTAACTAAAATGACCATGAATACTAATTAACTTGACAAAATTGAGTAATTTTTGGTATACAAAACAAAGTTAAGAGACTATATATGATAGTCAATTAACCAAATTGAGTGACCATCCAAACTTTATTGTTTATATTTAACATCGTTCTTAAATTAAGAACTTCAACAAATATGTTCCTTAAGAAGAAGTTATTTGAAAAGAGCAAAGTCATTATGATAATCACGAAAGAGCAAAAGAGGACATATAAAGGCATTAATATAATTTTTTTTTATCATGAGTTATGATGCAGTGGTAGGATTGCACCCTTAACTAAAAGTTTCATGTTCGAGTTATACTTATTATCTTTTAAAATATAATTATAGTTCACCAAAAGAAGAGAACAAATTATACTCCATTATTGTTTGAACTTTAAATTACTATAAAGATATTTTTTTTCATGTCAAATTCTCAATATCATAGTCTGAATTACTATAAAGGTTTTGACTCATTTGTTGATCATGAAAATATAATTAAGTTCTAGAAACTTCTTGATTATATGTTCTTCTTAGTTTGAATTATGGTTCTTTCAACTTAATCTAATTCAAAAAGCTTTATAAATATCAATTATGCAAATTGAATATATATAGAGAACTTGGAGAGAAGGACAAACTTACATCATATTACTAAACCATATAATTCTATTAGATCTTTATTGAAAAATTATCATATAACAATCGAAATAAATCAAGGTTTCATGTGAAATACACATGGGGCACATGAAGGCAAACAAGATAAATGGACGATTAAATCTTTGTAATTTGAGATAATTAGGAATATGGAGGTTTTGTACAAGAGAGAGAGAGAGAGAGATTAAGAGAGAGAAAAAAAAGGAAGGGAAAGATTGTATCTTAGACAAGCAAAAAATTACTTCAGTAAAAAAATACTACTCCCTCCGTCCTATTTTATGTGGCAACATTTGACCGGGCACGAAATTTCAGAAATAAATGAAGACTTTGAAATATTTACCAAATTGCCCTTTAAAGTAGACTCACTTTTCTCTCTCCTCATAAATGTAGTGGAATATTATTTTAAGATTAAGTGGGACCAACAAGGGTATAAAAGGAATTGTACCTTTAAATACTTACTATATAAGAAAATGTGACATTCTTTTTTGAATTGACCAAAAAGGAAATGGTGCCACATAAAATGAGACGGAGGGGGTAATAACTTACTATAATAGGTCAATGCTACTTGATGGTGTAAAAAGACTATACACTGACAATATATAAAACTTACACTCCTTTATCAAAACTAAGCGGCATAATAATATTATTAGCTAGTTTTTTTTTCAAAATTCCCATCAAAACTAACAAATATCTTAGAGGAAATACTCGATGAGAACTAAAATTATTAACTTTTGACAAATCAAAATATTAGGAATCAAAGCAAGGAAAGTAGCATTGATGGAACGGGGGATCGCACCTTCAGCGAAGAAATAAGGTGACCAGCTGGAAGTTTTTGAAATCCCAACAATATTTTCTACAAACTTATAAAATCAAAATTATTGATTACATAAAGGACTATTTTTAACTTACCCTCGAACATAAGAGACTAAAGTATTATTTTCTCATAATTGTGGCAATTAGAAAGAAAAGAAAAAAATGGAGGACTGGAAAAAGTAATTTTCGCTAAAGAGGGCAGACTGGAGATGCAGCTACTTATAATAAAACCTGACTTTTCAAAGATATTTTTCGCTCGGCCTCCGCTTTGCTGTTGCAGTTAGGGTTTCTTCAAGACAAGGTAAAAACTTTCAATCTTCTTCTTCTGATTCTTTGATTTGATTCACATTTTTCTGTTGAATTGATGTTTTGGTGCCTAAAATGTAGCTGAGAGTTAGGTCTGCATGTGGTATGCATTTTTTAAATTAACTGCTAAATTTAGGTTTTTGTGTAAACAAGTTTATACTCTTGCTCATTCAAATTGGGTAAGTTTTGAACTCACCTATGTTCGTATTCTTAAAAGAGTTAAGATAATCTTGGCTAAACCAAATTAGGGACTCTCGTGCCCATCTTCTTAAGAAGGCATACAAGGGTGTGACCTAGCGGTTAATGAAGTTAGAATACAAATAGAAATTCTAGATAGAGGCAGAAAAACAAGTGATTTCTTGTCATTTGCCTAATTCTTTGTTGAAGAAGTTGCGTACTTGCACTGGTGGGATAGTGGGAAAATGCAGGTATCCCGTGTAATAGCAAGGTCTGTGCAAGGTGGGAAAATTCTAGGTCTGTGCAAGGTGGACCAAATACTACTGTTATTAGAAAATGGAATTAAGAATAAATTTTAGGATAATTCGTTTGACATTTAAAACTTTTGAGATAGCGAGTTTCAGACCTTTAGGAGAATACTAGGTGCCTATTTGCCTTGTTAACAAGTAATAGGTTTTTGACTTGGAATTAATATCATTTTAAGATGACTTTAATCTAAGCTAGTAATTTTTGTTGTAAAAAGGGTGTGTGCCTGGTGCCATAGGCAAAGTGTCAAATGATCCTCCCAGGAGATTGGAGTTTGATTCCAATTCGTGAATAATCTAAAGCCACTGATTTTTTACATTGTAAAGGATCGATTGTATAACAGTTTATGTACAAACTGTTTTAGGTTTAGCTAATGTGATCTAGCTGATAATTTAATAAATGGTGCACATCTCCTCTCTAAAGGATGCTAAGTTGCTCAGACTCTCCAAAAATGTTGCTGCACCTGTGTCGGATCCTCCAAAAATCACTACTTTTGAAGGATCTGTCACACACCTGGCAACATTTTTGAAGAGTCACATGAAGGATGCATGTTCACTTTAGGATTGCCTGAACGGAAAGGTGTAAGCTAACTCTGAACACAATCCATGGACAACTGTTAAATGCTCAACTGTTCTACTGCAATAAATCACGTTAGTTATATAGTTAGATGAAACTGCTCTTTTCATATTATATCTGTAGCCATACACATCTACTTGTCTCCTTTCAGGTTTAGCAGTCCCTGACATCTTCTGTTCAGGAAGGATGAGGCCAATTTTCTGTGGTAACTTTGAGTTTGAAACCAGACAGCCTGAGCTGGAAAAGGTTTTCAAAAGATATGGGAAGGTTGATAGGGTGGATATGAAGTCTGGTAAGATTGTAACACATGTCAATTTTCTTTCAGTGCCACCTGTCTTATTTCTAACCTTGTTGTGTTAATTTTCCTTTTTTGAATATGATGGACCCTGTTGGCGAGTTTATTGTGGCGATAACTTGTTACGGACACAAACCCCTGGATTCATGGTGTACCATACTTGATATAAAATTATATGTACTTGATTAATTGGGTGTCTTGTTAGGTGTTAACTACTTGTATGTGAGGCCTCCCCAATGAGGTCTTGTTATTTTCTTTTGTGTATCTTAGAAATTGGAAATGTAATTCTCATTTCTTAGTACATGCACATCTTACTGCCAGTGAGTTTCTTCCTGCAGTAGGTACCTGGGTGTGATTTCATCTACTAGGGTAGTTGTTTACATAACTGGATTCTTTCTTCTGTATAATCTTTATTCCTTATGTCTTGTTAACTATGGGCAATAAGCACTATGGCATCAAATGGTCTGGCCAAGTGCTATTTTGCCAATTGTTCATCAATTATATACATACTGCTAAACAAAGTTCTCTGCAATCCGAGTAAGACGGAGCCCACCACTATTGACTACCAGTAAAACTGGGCCAGATTATGTGAAGTCTGTGTCTTGCTAAAGTTCAGCATAGCAAGCAACAATAAAGCTGATGGTTGCAAAGCGATTGAGTGATGAAATATGAACAAGGTTATTGCATCCCTTGGCCCGTTCTGTGTTTTCAGTGCTCAAATGACCGCAAAGTGGTTTGATGTGGATGCTGCATTCCCATCTTTACATTGTGGCTTTGTTGGATGGGAGATCCAGTCAAGCTTATTTGGCTCAACAGCAGAAGTCTTGTTGAGTTTTGGTGGGGTATTAGGATATGTTTACCGAAAAAGTGTATTTTTTTAAGCGTAGACCCCCATACTCAACTGATTCTTTGGCGCAGGATAACATTGCAATGCCCATACCCATTGCTGATGGACGGTGTCTATTTCGTGTCCTGACCGTGACAAGTTTCTCTTCTTGTTTCAACAAGAGCTCTCTGATCCATCATGGCATCACAATCACATATTATTCTCAGTCACTATTGCCCTCCATTCCTCGTGAATTTTGCCCCGTCTTCATTTTCAGACTTGTCACAATGCCGGCCTCGAAGCTGAGGCAGCAGTTTAAAATGGAGAAGGCACTCTTTTACATTATCCCATCATGTGACATCCACCTTTCCCTGGCATCTTTAGTCCACCACTGAAGGTCTGTTGTGATTTTAATGGTGTCAAAGTTTCTAGATTTGACAGAGTGATTGTAATGCAATGAATTGCTATATGGTTTGCATATTTACTGGATAAAATTATCTTTCCATTTTTATTTTTTTTGTTGAGCATTTATGAGTAGCGGAATCCTTCTTTAGGGGGTTCTTGTTGTCACCAACTGAGTTTTTGTTTATTAATCTTCAGTTTATTTCTTGCATCAAACTTCAGGTTTTGCTTTTGTTTATATGGATGATGAAAGAGATGCAGAGGATGCTATTCAGGGGCTTGACCGAATAGAATTTGGCAGAAAGGGACGGAGGCTTCGTGTTGAGTGGTCTAAGGTAATCCATTTTTGTGCCTGCTCCCCTTCCTTCACATGTGTGTTTATGCTGTGTTTTGGTCGCTGTGCTGCAGGAAGAACGGAGCAGGAAGCCTGAGGGTTCTAAAAAATCTTCATCGAGCTTCAGAGTTTCCAAGACCTTGTTTGTCATAAATTTTGATCCATATAATACTAGGACAAGGGATCTGGAAAGGCACTTTGATCCATATGGAAAAATACTCAATATAAGGATCCGAAGGAATTTTGGATTTATTCAATTTGAATCACAGGAGGATGCCACTAGAGCCCTGGATGCTACAAATATGAGGTATATGCCTTTGTCAATTTTCGTTGTAATTGGGCATGTAGTTTCCAAATTTGCACATTAGTTTGTCCTGAGCCTTCGCTTGACTGCTTATGACTTGGTTAAATGCAGTAAGCTGATGGACCGAGTTATCACAGTGGAGTATGCAATCAAAGATGATGATGATAGGAAAAATGGATATGGTCCTGGTAAAACCTATAATCAATCACCCAGGAGAGGTTATGACCGAGGCCGATCTCGTAGTCCACGTGGAAGAGATAGGCTGAGTCCAGACTATGGTCGTGGCCGAGATCGGCCTAGTCCAGACTATGGTCGTGGTCGAGATCGGCCAAGTCCGGACTCTGGTCGTGGTCGAGATCGGCCAAGTCCTGACTATGGTCGTGGTCGAGATAGGCCTATTCCTGACTTTGGTCGTGGTAGAGATCGGCCAAGTGCTGACTTTGGTCGTGGTAGAGATCGGCTAAGTCCTGATTATGGTCGTGGCCCTAGTCGAAGTCCTAAGCACAGGGAAAGGAATTCTGAGTATGGCCGTGGCCATAGTCCAGTTGTAGGAAAGGAGAGAAATCCTGGTCATGGGAATGTTCGTAGCCCTAGCCCTCGTAGGGAAAGAACAGGTCCAGGAAATGGTCTTATGAGCAGTCCGCTGAAAAACAGAAGTCCTGGTTATGGTGATAGACCCGGTCCTAGTCCTCAAAGGGAGAGAAGAGATAAATATAGCCTGGATGGTTATAATCGTGGCAGCAGCCCAGGTCCTAAACTTGAACCAGTAGGAAGTCCTGTACGTGATGGGAGGGGAAATTCGGAGCGATGCAGGAGGTTTGCACCTCACTAGTTTACTTTCCCTTTGTCTGGCCTTTTCTTTTTGGTGTCTCTGTGCTCTGTTGCCAGTTGTCATTTTTGATGTCATCCTAGACGTGTTGTACTTTAAAATCATTTTGTTGGTGTTGCAGTCGTTCACCTCCAGCTCGGGAAAGATCGCGCTCCTGATTTGCTTGAAGCTGTTTTGATACTTGGAGTAATATCTGTAGAATGGTTATGTTGAAAGTGGTGCTTGTAGAATTACACCTTGAAGTTGCTGGAACATCAAAGTAGCATGTGGGTTTTAGAACCAATGTAATATACCTTGGGAGATAGTTTTTGCTGTTGGAAGTGATTTAGAACTGCTACCGTGTATCTGCCTTGTTTACTGGATACTCTCTTTTCCATTTGATACTGATCTGGTAAGACTTGGGCCATATCATTCTTAGCTTGGCTTTACCAACAAATTTTATTTATCCCCGCAGCCTCAGTGTGATGATTAATTAGTAAACTTGTCTTGCAAAACAAATCATTAGTATTGCACCCAAGGATGTGGCCTAGTGATCAATGAAGTGGTTGAGAACCCTAAGGCCTCATGTTCAAAACTCAAAGACGAAAATACTAGGTGATTCTTTCCATCTGTTCTAGCATTGGTGGTCAGAGGGGGAGGTGTCAAGTATCCGGTGGAATTATTAAAGTCGTTAAAAAAACCAAATCCTTAGTATTAATTAAGTATGAGTTGTATTGTTTTGTATGTAGATATTATAAGTCGTTGTAGTGGCTGTCAGTTACATGTAGAGGAGCCTACATTGTATATGATAGAGCCAACTAATCATTCTATGAATCTGTCTTAGATATATCAGTATTAGGTGCCAAAGTTGCTTAATTCAGACAAGAAGGAAAAAAACAGTACAGTTGCAATATGACGGAAATGCTAAATATTGGTGGGTATCAGATGGTGTTTGTATAATTGCATGAAAATTGCTAGTCTTACTTGTTGGATGTTTTCATATATGGACATCAACAAATGTGGTCCCAAAATATTCTGCGTACGAACGGTCTTTGGCGTTATATTTGTGATTTAAATTACCCTACCTATAGGCTATAGCCTAGTGGGAGAATAAGGAGCGTGGTTTGTTGGAATGTATGAAGCAGGGTTTGACAATAACTCCATTATTAAGCAACCATAGAAAACTTAGATTTTAAAGAGTGATACGATAAGAATGGCCCCCATCCTCAAGTAATTTTCATTTATGGTACTACTACTTCTGTTTTTTTTTTCTTTTCGACTAGGACAGGAACCCTGTACTTTGCTTGATATTAGCCATCACCATCGCTTTTGCTGTAATGCCTTAAGCACAACAACTAACTACATATACAAAATGCAAGTCTTAAATAGTGAATTGTGAGAAAAAGGCTAGACGTTTATGAATCGCACCTAATGAGTTGGCCTATTATATATTAGTACTCAAATTTGGGGATATGCACATAGTAAATCTTGTTCCTATTACTCCCTCCGCTCCGTCCATTCATCTTACTAAAAACAGTTGTCCACCACACTAAATCAAGAAAGCATTAATTAATAAAATTATTTCTTCTTATTTATTAATATGTGTGTAAAAAAGAAAAATGATAGAACTAGTATTGAGATGTCCATTGGAGATCCGGAAAAACGATGCATGCCTATCCAGTTCTAGAATACATACGTATTTAGCAAGAATATTAATCTATTTGATCTTTTATAATTCACATGCCCTTAAACTTCAATAACAAACTCAATTGTTACATGACTAATTTAGGAATAAACACCACTAAAATAATTAAACTTATAGAACCAGTTGGCCTATTTAACATTACCATCTTCAATTACCTAGATTAACGTATGTTTAAAGCTATCCTATTTCAAAGATCTCATGAAGCCAGATTAAGTCTCCAACTTTAACATGGGAGACCAAAAAATAATTCATGTCTTTAGAAGTAAATCTCAAGTCGTTCTACTACTCAACTAAACTTATACGCTTGACATAATTTCATTTTTTATATATATGATTGATTGCCCTAAAATAGAAGAAAGAAAAAACACATATATAGTACTCCGATCCTACTTGATAAAATAAAATAACAACTGTTTCCAGGCTTTATGTATATTGGAAAAAACTCCAGCTGCAAACTTGATTTTTTAAGACAAATAATTATGCCAAAGTATTTTCCAAGTCTACCAATCAACCGATCGATGCGGCTAACAAAATTAAAACATTCTCAAAAGAGACAAAATTATGCATGCACGCCCCATGCACATACTTTTGACTAATAATAATTTATATATTTAGCAGCTCAGTCTTTGGTTTCAGACCCAAATATTTGTTTTATTCTATGCATATTACAAAAAAAGGATTGGCTCTATCTGCGGAAACGACAGTTCAAAAGATTTTTTCATAATCTAAATGGTGTCTATACATGTTAAACAACAGGAGCAAGTCAAAAATAAATTCTTAGTCGATTTTGGGAGTGTTTCCTAAGTTTGTTGTGTGTGTATATATATATTTATATATGTTAACAAGACAAGCATCTTATAAATTTAATTACGACTTTCTTCGTTCGTCTCAATTTATAACACAATTTATTAAGAAAGAAATAATTTTTTTAGGGCCGTTCTAATTATGGTCTTAAGTACATGTTGTGTAAGAGATGCATGAGTACTAGTATGAAATTTTTGAATTTTGTGCTTTTAAACATTGCATGACGTTAGGGTAAAGTTAAACGTTCGAATCAAATTATTGTTAAATTTATAAACTTGTATTATGCTTTTTTTTAAAACAAATTAACAAAGTAAATTACATGTTTTCTAAATTAAAACAGACTAAAAAGAATAGTAATATATATATATATATCAAACTCAGCGCCGAAGAGAGTTTATAATTAATCGAGTATCCTTAAATCCGTTGGCCTATGTTTTGATGAGATAAACTGTGGATTATATTTTAGTAGCACAGTCATTGTTCGATTATATCTTTGAATTCAACAAGAATAGACATTGTTATAATTAACTCCACAACTTAGTCCTTTCCACAAGGAATATGAATACTTATAATATTGTTTTCTTCGTTTCAAATTAAGAGAAATTAAAGTGTGGTACTGTATTACAATACCAAAATTTGATATGCGTGTTTTCTTGCACGTGATATTCATTTCTACTAAATTTGCGCGCACAATGCGTGTTTAAATTACGTGTTGATTGTGTTAACGCTTTACTTCTTAATGGGTATCATAGTTTTGTTATTAGCGTTTTCAGTATACAGATTCAAAATTTAAAGTTTATGAATTTTCAACTATTTCAAATTTTAAGAAAAAAATATATTACAAACATAATACATAAATATGTCCTTTCACTTGAACTCAACTAATATTATACCCTCTAACTTTAGGCATGCATAAGTAAGTATTTAAACTTGTATAAATTAAGTTGAACAAGTAGACACATACATCTTATGTGACATAATACATGTAGGATGCAAATTGCCATGTAGGACACTAAGTAGGACGTGTGTGCATACTTGATTAATTTTATGCAAGTTTAAGTGTCTAATTATGTACACCAATAATTGAAAGAAATATATGCCAAATGAGACCAAATTGAAAAGTATGTTCATGTATTATACCTTTATTATATGTGCCCACGAGGAATCAAAATCTTATCAAAGAGGCACAATGTTAAGCAAGTCTTACTTCTACTGCCAGATCAAGAGACTACTTTGTTTACTAGATTCCCAACAATTTTATATAGTAATATATAGGGATAATAGTTATTTTAAAGGTATATATGTGCTCATGTGGACACATTACTATTTATAATTTTGTATTATTTTTTATGTTCACATGGGCAAATATATATGTTTAAAATATGGTATTAAATAGTCTAGGGAGGTAATAGATCCTCATGAAAGTTTAGTATCGCAACAGCAAATTCGACCAAAGTTGAGGTATTTTTCAAACCCTTATCCCTAATATATTTGATAAAAAATTTAACTGTTCATTTAGCGACGAGATAAGGTAAGAACTTAGAAACAAAAAACTGAGAGATTCTTTCTTTCACAGCTTTCATTTGTCTTTTTGATGTGGCAATGTTATCACATTGAGTTGGAGATAAGCTTTATCTTTAAAAAAAAAGAATCTAAAGTATAATAAATCTCTTCTTTTTTATCAAAAAAATTATTCACTTGTCTTTGAGCAAGAGAATTCATAAATGACCTAAGTTAGCAATTTTATTTTTATCGGAATATTAAGTTTAAGACCATAGTCGATGAGTTAGCAGGAATTTTACACCTAAGTCAAGATAATTTGGATTCACCTTTTCTTTAAAGTCCAAAACAATGCATGCTTACAAGTTAGTGGGGCGGTTGTCTTAGCATGTATGATAATTTTGAAATATAATTATAAATATACTCTTTATTATTTGACTTAGATCATAGAATTTTGTTGAATTATCATGCGCAGTATAATTAATTAATTAATTAGGTCAGTTATGAACATATATTGCAAGTCTTCATTTTCTAGAATTTGGTAGGGCTTTTAATGGATTCCGTTTTTCCTTTTTCTGTTTCTCCATCATTAGTATTACTTCTTTTGTTTCACTCAAGTCAATGTGTCATGTTTTTCTTTTTAATTTATTTTAAAAAGGAAAATATTATACTCCTTAATCAATTTAACTTGATGAAAAAAATCATATATATATATATATAATATTTTATACATCTGTAAAAAAAATTAATTAAAATTTTATTGGCAATTAGATATTATTTCGTTTTATTTATATTAGGTGTTTTTTTTGTTGCTTGAACATGGAGTATCTTTTAAGAAATCTTCTCATTTCTAAAAAGGTAACTATTCCTCCGATTTCAATTTGTCAAGGAAGAGAATAGTGTTTTTATTAATTTATTCTTAATTAATATAATTTTTTTATTTACTCACCAAAATAGGGATAAGAAAAATAAAAAAAATAAAAAATATCTTTTCAATTAGGTAAAACATCATTTATTTTAAATCAAAATATAAAAATAAATATTGCTAAATCAAAAAAAGTACGACACATATATTGAACCAGCAATATCTAAAAACTTTGACCGAGGGTAAGGAAATAAATTGCGGCAAGTTGCAAATGAATTGGCCAGTTGAGTTTTTTTTTTTTTTTTTTACCTTATCTCTATTTTTTATATGAATATTTCTAAATCCATCCCCTTTTTTTCCATTGCAATACACTATTAAAAATAATAATTTAACGACAAATAAATTTTATAACTAAATAGTATAATTTGTTGATAATCTTAGTTAATGATGAATAAGTGACAAAATTCTATTAGCTACAAAACAAAATACAATGAATTAGCGATGAAATTCATAGTTGATATTAATTTTTTTTTAGTAAGGATAAAATCATCATCAACATTTTTATGTTTTGGTGAAT